CCTTACAACCTGAATGCTATGCTGGGTGCTCAAATTGTTCAGTTCACATTAACTCAGTTTTATCATCGATTGTTCCTCCTGATGTTAAACAGATGCGATGGCTACTCTAGCCACCACTGTAGGTGTTTATTTAAAGTACTCATTTCCCACAGCCAGTTCTCCATTTTACAGCTCTACCCACAGCATTCTCATGTCAACCAAACCCCCTGGGCTTTCAGAAGTGATGAATCCTTAAAAAGATGTTTTCCCCACAGAAACCACAAGGTAAATGTAACAAGTAATCAGTCTTCCAGGCAGCAATCAGGCAACCACTTAACAAACATACCACACAAACAAAATAATTAATCGAAGCACTGTCCTGAAAAGTAATTAATCTAATCTGTTCCAAGTGATGTGTTTGTTCACTGTATACTATTTTGTCTCATAGTTGTCATAGTTAAGGGTGTCAGAGAAGGTACAAATGTGTTAACCGGCTTAAAAGAATACTAATTTCAAGAGGGAAGTGTGACATAAATGTTTATGCAGTGTGGGGTGTTTGTTCCTTTGTTTGCAGAGAGGAACAACACAGATCAATGTCAGTGTGAAACAGAAAGGACAATGCAGTAGAATAAGAAAGGAACACTTAGAGAGCATCAGACATGACATTACAAGCCTGAGAAAAGTATATGATCTAGATCAGTGCTGGACTTCTGAGGAAGGGCAGGTGGCATTAGTCACAAATACTCCCATTAATGAAACTAAAATGAGGAGTCAAAGGGCAATGCTTCCCTGAGATGCTGTGCAAGTTGAGGAGAGCCTGCAGACTCTGGTTAAAGTGCATTGCAAGGAAGTTAATTCTGATCATTTCCAATCATCCCTCTCAGCTATTTCTGCTTTGGGCTCCTGAGTTCAATAATTCCAGATGCTATCTGTTACATCTCATCAATAAACTTCACATCACAGAGGCCAGACCTTTATATTGGTGACTATAAACAAAAGGACTGGATTGCTCTTAAGTCTGAAGTATGGTTCATGAGTATCACAGATAGTGATATTCAGCATCATCCTCGTTTAATAGTAAAACAATTACTTTCTCATACTATTCAGACTATGTTTTTAATGGACAGAAACTGAATGAGACCATCTTTTGTTTGGTAATTTTGCTTGAAACTGAAACAATATGTTTCAAAATGCTTTGTCATAAAACATTTTCTTTCTTGATTGGGAAAAGTTTATAAGCAAAACATACATGCTCTAGAAAAAAAGATTAAGGTATATCTGATAAATCTTTCCACTATAGTTACTGTGACAGTATGCATGGCTGTTTTGTTTGCACTTGAGCTACCTATGTGTCCTTCCACACACACCAGCTTCAAAGAAAGGCTTTTCTAGGTGGTCATATTGATAGCCAAATATAAATATATCATTAATGATGGCTGGTCAAAATTGGAGTGGATCCATGAGCCAGGAGCTTAAAGAGTCTTTTGTGCAAGTCTAGAAATCAGTTACTAAGATTGTGGTTTGCAAGTTAGGGGCTACTAATGCAAAGCCAAATATAATTAATGCAGGAATCACAGCCAGACAAGTCAAGTTCATTTCTCATTTAGAAGAATAATATAGGTAAATAGTAAATCTGAGTATAGAAAAATGCATCTATATACAGCACATAGGATAAAAACTCAGAGGTAGGTGAAGGTGTCTGCCTGCAGGGAATCTAAAATTCTTTCTCTGATTAAAGCCTGAGGAGGTTTGCACATGGAGAGTCTGATAGAAAGACTAAAATCTGAAGAGAAGACTTACATTGTGTGGAATACACATGGAGAAAGAAGAGGTTGTAGGAGGGGTCATGATGAAATGCGTTTCCACATTTTATTTGAGGATTCAAACCAATGGGAACATTTGTCTACCAATGGAATGTTCTATTCTGCACAATTTCATTTTTCATTAGAATGCAGATTTTTGAGAAATATTTTAGTAACACTCCCATTAAAATAATTGTTTATAAGTTTTGCACTTCCCAAGATAAAACCATCTACTACAAAGATCTATCATGTTGAACACATTCTTTTCCTGGTGATTTTATGTGATTTTAAGCAAGATTGTGTAAAATCTCTTCTTTGTATTGTTTTAAAACACACACACACACACACACACACACACTCATGTATATCTTGAATGACTGCACACATTAAAATATGAAGATCCACATAAATATAACCACTTATGTAGGTATGTTTCTTAACATGAGCACTTCATTTTCATTTTAATTAATAAAAAACTACCAGTTGGAGTAGAAGGTTGTAAGGTGATGTTACCTAGATCTCCTATTCAGGACTAAGATGTGCATTTCACCAACTTCCTGGAAGTTGTCTTGGTAATGTGATCAGTGTCTCTACCTTTCAGAGCAGCACTCATCCACCTAAAGGTTGATTCAAGAATCTTAACACCTGCTGGCCTCTTGCTTGGAGTCTCACATATCTAGAGGACCCAGGATGTTAGATTCAAATAAGTCTTACAAAGTTACTGTAACTTGACAGTTCCAATTCTCTTTTTTCTTTCTACTTTCCAGTGTCTATTTGCCTTTTTCCTTGCTTGCTTCTTCTTTTTCCCTCTTTCTTTTGATCTTTCCTCCTTTCCTTTCATTTTTCAGTTTTTACTTACTTTTATTTGTTTATGGAGACAAGATCTTACTCTGAAGCATAGGCTAAACTAGAACTCACTATTTAGCCCAAGGTGCTCACAAACTTATGGCAAATTGACTGTTTCAGTCTTCTAAATCCTGGGATTGTGAATAGAAGTCACCCTGCCCTTCAGAGGGTACATTCTTGAGAAGATTCCACATCTCATTTGTGTATCCTGCTCTGGTCACTACCACCTCCATCCCTGCTAGCACTAATAACCATTCTCAATTTGGTACTTAAAGCGCCCATACAATCCAGGTGTTTTTAATCAGAAGAAGTTTCTGTTTTCTATATTACTTTCAAAGCCAACATACTCAACATGCTATTGATTTGAAAATTCCCTATGTTAAAAATAATTGCTAATTAAGCCTATGGAGCAAGCAACAATCTGAGCATAGATCTCAAAGTTTAAACTGAGCCAATGAACATTTACTCAAAGACTATGGAGAAGTGGATTTCTTGAATTCATATACAATTTTAAAAAAGCACTTCTCATATCTCACCATCACCAGAGCTTATCACAGTAAGAAAAGTCTATTGGAATGAATTGACCCATGAAAGAATATCTCTTGGGCTTGTTCTTCTATAGAAACACAGGGCACTTATGATTGAAAATTGGATATATGAAGAAAATTCCATAGGAATATATGTCATAGGAAGAAACATTTCTCAAAGTGTATCTCATGAACTATTAGTTCCCAGTGAGGGAGGGTCATGATTTTTATCACGTAGCTCTAGATAAATTTGTAAAATTCTAGGTCAAACAATGTAAAGTAAGTCCAATTTCTCTGTGTTATACAAAGTCTTTCATGTGCTGACATACAGCATGGATTTCCTCTTGAATACAGGAGCTTTTTCAAGGTGGCCCCATTAAAATAATAAACTACTCTTAGATACAGGATGTAATAAGAATTAGATAACTGAATAATAACATGTTGATAAAATTGCTGATGTAGTAATTGTAATACGTTTAATGAACTCAACTTCATGGTCAAAAGTTTGACAACATTTGCTTTAAGTCCTGGGCTTGAGGACAAGTAGCGAGGGTATCCATAGTGAAGGATTACATATGATTATACAATCCCCGGTTCCATGGGGGAGATTAACTCTTTTACTTTCCATATATGTTACACTGACAAACCTATAGCCACAGATGAGAATCCCAGACTTTCAAAAACAAAAACCGGCTTCTCCATCTGTTCTGAAACTTGACAATGAAAGAAAGCACGGTATTCTAAAGTCAGTCCTCACTTAGCATAATACACAGTCATTAACCATGACTGAAGTAATCATGAATGAATACTCAACTTTCTGACTCTATAGTCAATACTCAACAACTATTATTAACAAAGTCAAATCACAGACAAAGTCTGTGAGTTCCAAGAGGACTTGGAAACTCTTATTGCCCTTAACTTCTTAATACACAAAGACAAGGTACTATCTTCACATTACACAATACAATGTTTCTCTTTACTTGGAAAGTCACACTGTAGCAAAGTAATGTGGTCACAGTACTCGGGAGGTAAAGGCAAGAGAATCAAAAGTTCAAAGCCAGAATAGGCTACATAGTGAGTTTGAAGACATGAGAGCCCTGTCTCTGAGATGGGAGGGTGGAGATAATAGTATACCTGAAGAAGAAAATAGTCCACATTAGTTACAAGAGACAACTATGATTGGCAACCCTCATTTGGTGGATATTATAAAACTGAATGAAATAAGGAAATATCTAGATAGTGCCACGTTTTCACTCATGACCTCCCCTGATGAATATCTGTGATCTCCTTGTTTGTGCCATACTTGAGACAGTTGTGTTAGACACATTGACACTGAGCAGAGAACAGAAATGCTTCTTGAGATCTGGAGGCCCAGTGGAGCCCCAGGGGTGACCCTCACTCACTTGCTTCTCTTGTGAGAAGAGTTGTTTGTCAGTAGGAAGATCCTCTCATGGCAAAGGCTTCCATTGTAACCTTGACACTCCATAACTTCGGGAAGAACTGCTGATTATGAATTCAAACTCACAATTTCTAGGCAGAAATGAGAAGATACAGTTCATGTTTCTAGTGTAGAGCAATTTAGAAGGGCACTAACTAGTATAGAAGATCACGAAGTGTCTCATACAACCTTTCAGGCAATCAGAGGGGAGTAGCACTTATCCCACTCCACAGAAGAAGAACGAGTATTTGGGATTTCTGGGAGTTTTCGAGCTGTGAAGGATTCTGGCCTCTCTGACTCAAAATTCTGTGTGGGTCATCTAATGATCCACTTTACTTGCTTCTGTATCACTGGTGGGTGGCTTTGTGACATCACTTTTGACTGAAAATGATGGGGAGAGAACAAGAGATCAGCAAATGAAGTGGTAATTGTTTCTCTCTCAGGATTCGGAATGCTACCGAGGCATGAGTAATGGCTCGGAATCTCCTACTTGGTATTCAGGAAATGAGCTAACTCATGTGCAGATGGGAAGCCTCAGTCACAGGCTTGCTCTTATGAAGAATCACCGTTTGGCTTTCTTTACCAATGCCACTCCATACTCCTCTGAAATGGACCTCAGTGAATAAATAGGTGAGCAGGAAGCCAGCCTCGTTTCTGAATTCACTAGGTTTCTAGGGTGACAAGCACATCAATAAAGCCAGAGAGAAGTGACAAGGAATGTGACATGCCTTTCTGGGGCCCACCCTGTGCCTGGTTGAAAGCTATAATTCTCACCAAAAGAAGCACTGGATGGATTTTACAGTTTACCCCTGGGTGCTGTGTGATATGAAGACATTAAACTCACTGTAGAGATACGTTTACCTCTGTTACAAAGAGATAAGTGATCTGATAAAATTTACCAAACACCGGAGAGTAACCAATTCACTATATTTAAATGTATTTATAATATTACACAATGTTTTGGAAATAGGAACCTGAGATATCAGAATTTACTGCAATCAAATTCCAGCAAAAATAAAAATACTTTTAAATTGTAATATAGGAAATGGAATAGATAAGAAAATCAAATTTTAACTTAGCCTCTTAATATTATATTTACTGTATTAATAGAAGTTTATATATGTTTCCCCATTTGTGAAACAGGGATTAATAAATTTGAAATACTATGCTTCTTATAAACAATTACATTTTATGCTTTCATTTCCCAGAAGGGCTTTAGTTTTTCCTTAAACAAAGAGAATAGAACTGTGATAGATTACAAGATGAGAGAGTTGACAAATCTAATAGCACTCATAGGTTACCTCCCTACACACGAATGTGTACATGCCAAAGAGTCACAGGAAAAACAGATGGAAATAGTATTTCCAGATGCTCTGGGCTCAGAGGCCAACTGAGTGCCTTTGCATATAACAATAAATATGCTGAACTATTAACTTAAATGCTTAGAATTTGTTGCTAAGACATATAAAATAAATTTTGTCCTAATAAAAGTTACAAAATGCAAATCGTTTATTGTTCACTTAGTATTGCCCACCTCTAAATTAGATTTTATTTTCTTATACTTCTAAAGTGTATGAGATGTAAAGTAGAACTGTTATGGGATAGAATTATGATTCCCTGTTTATAGATGGGAAAATAGGGACTTCATACTAATATCTAATTTATCCAAAGCACATTGGTGTTAACATGTGACAAGTATTTGAAACATGGCATCTTCTATAACAGTTATTCCCATGTGCTCCTCAGCTCTTTCTACATAAAACAACCACAATGAAAGTATTTGCCTAGATTAATATTCCACTAATCATTTAAATTAGAACAAAAACAGTGTTGACTACACACAATTGTAAAAATCAACACAATAAGTGTTAATGAAAATAAATGCATACAGATGGCAAAAAGCAAATTAAATTTGAAAAATCATTTCAATTTAAAAATTGAGCAGTGGTGGTAAATATGGGGATTTTTTCTCTCCCTTTCTCTCTCTCATAATAACCAAATAGGCTGATGGCTCATTTCACTGTGCAGCAATATTCTGACTTTCCTCCTAGAGCTGAAAATGCCTATTTACCAGAATGAGAAAAATACTTACACTCATGTAAACTGCAGTGGTAAATTATGCATGCTCAATTAATCCACAAGTACAGCCTTGGGTTTGCTTAAAGTTCCTGAGGCATAAGATGCAGGTACTATGATGATAGTTTATCAACCCCTGGATTTTTAGGTGTCTGTTCAGATCAGGCTGATTGTGTAGCAAATGTTCACTGTTTAAAAGGAATTGCGGAGGTGAATTCCTCTGCTTCCCCTCCCCCTAACATACTATTCATTACTGAGCTCCCCGGATTTGAAAGACGAACACTTCTGGGTCTTTTTTGATACAGTTCTGAGAAAGCACTGTTAGCTAACAAATCCAGCCCATAATAAATCTTCTTTATTTACTGCCCACCTGGCTGCAGCTCTATCAGGATCAGCAGGAAAAAAGGATAAAATCTTATCAGTGAACTGAGCTGACACCACATGCAATTCCCTTTTCAGGACTTGGGAGACATGAATTGCACGCTATTTCTTTCTGACTCCAAGTGACAGCTGCATTTTCCAGGGTGAGGTGGTGCGCTGCCCAGCATGTGCTGTTTAACTAAGGCCTTTGTGCCGTCCCCTAGCTCTTTACCTGACTCAGGAAAGCTGAGGGACATGTAAGAAAGCTCAAGACAGAGAGTGGGACAGAGAGACAGAAAGAGAGCACCTTGACTCAAAGGAGAAGGGACAAAGTAAGAAGTCTCAGAAATATCACAAAATCCAGAACCACCAAAATAATGGATTGCTTATTCCGTGTGAGAAACTGAAAAGAGAGTGGAGAAACTCCACGTTCCAACTCAAGCTTACACAATGGCAGTCTGCATTAAAGACTGAAAGGGACCCTATTATTTCCAAGACGGCAGCACTGGTTTGTATAGAGCAGCAGATGTGGGAATACAATACAAGACACATCATGTGACCCACTGCTGGGTGGGTGTTCACTTGGGAAACCAAATTGTCAAGCTTTCACATATTCCTAAATCATGGGCTTTGAAGTTCCAGCAACACAAGGATGAGAGAATCGCCCAAACTTTTAAGTTTGCTCTATCTGGATTAGACTTTGTCTCCACAGGATAAACAAATGGAGAGAGTGTTCAAGTTTTTCATTGTTGGTTTCTGCCTTTATAGACAGTAAGTAACTCATACATGAGGTTAATTACCTGAGCTGAAGTTGCAATAGAAAGTTAATTTGCAAATTTACTTTTGTGCCAAACTGTTTTTAATCTTTTAGTCATTATATACATAAGTTCAAAGATGACCAGTTGATAAATGATTGGTTTATCTCTCTAAGCTTGTTAGCAAATATAAATGATTTTATATCAAAATAAAGCCAAAACTTAATAACTAGTTATGTATCCTCCTTATACTTCACTGATCAAAATGTATGGTTTAGGTAGAAAATAAGATGTATGTAACACATTCAAAGGACTTCAATGGCTCTTTCATGTGGTCTCTTATCTAGCCTTGTGTTGCAATGATTTGAGTAGAAAAGGTCATATAGAGAAAAACAAATCTCTCCTCAATCCCTTCATAACATTTCCCTTCTCCAAAAGCATTATCACCAACTGTGTTCATTACTGCCTCACTCATTACTGTCAGGTGCTATGACAACACACCTGACAAAACCAACCGAAGTAAAGAGGTTTACTTTGTTTTGTAGTTTGAAAAGGTAAGAGACAATTATAGCTAGAAAGCCACTTGAGAGTCCATGGTTCCAGGAGCATTAGGCTCAGGTCTGAGAAGACTGGGAAGCAGATGTGAGGATTTGCAGGCAGTGCTGGCTCTCAGGTAACCGCTCCATGGTTTATCCTGTCTGGGGTCTCAGCCATTGGGACATCCATCCACTCTTTTTATTTATTTAAATTAGAAACAAGCTTGCTTGACATGTCAGTCCCTCCCTTCCTGTCAGGATGTCTTTTCTCCTCTGCTAAATCTTTTTGGATTGCCTTAAAGACATCCTCAGTAGTGTATCTCTTTGGGCTTCCAAATCCAGTGAGGCCAATGAGGCAAACTGATCATTACCCTCCTTTGGTATACAATTCTTCCAAACATCTTCTTTGTGTGGGGACATGGAAATAATGTACTGATGTACTTAATTCTGAGAACTCTTTGTTTTAAGTAGTTTTCACCCAATCCATCTTGATTGTGATCTTATAACCAGGTAACTAGGATTCCATTTTATGGTTATGCCATTCTTCAGTCAAAAAGTCCTTATTCTTGCTTGTTTAGCTTATTCATACTCATTTTCAAGCTTTAAACATTTCTAAAGCCAACTTTCAAGGTCTCTTTCCCAAAATTTAGTTCTGTTTTTCAGGAATGCCAAAATTCAATTCAGCTACTGACATTACACAAATCAAACCTGCACAGTAATAGCTACAAAGGCTACATGTAGGGAAGTGGCATATCGACTATAAATGTGGGCAAAAAATATTTTGTATAATTTTTCAAAAGAATAAAAGTAGATATCCCTTGATGCAGTGATCAAGCCTTAGAAATTTAAATCAAAGGCCCTCTGGCAACCTTACCTCAAGTAATCAAAGGCTCACTTTCTCTGTCTATGACATATTGACACATAGTAGCCTCCTATTCCAAAGAGTTATTTCTTCTCAAATAAGGTTTTTCATTATTTCATTCCCTGGCTGCATTTAATCCTTCAATATAAAATCCACCCCCTCTTTTCATTTGGAACTCGGGAAAACAAAGGTGATTTGAAGCAAAATATTCTCACTGTAGCAACTCTGAGGCCATCTCTGAGGAGGAGAAGCAGGCAAGGAGCATAGCGAAATGGTCTTTTGGAATTTGCAGCAAACTAACCATTTTTTCTGTTCACTTCTTTTTTACTGAACTTCTTTTTTTAATTAATTGAAATTTTTCATTTATTTTACAGCCTGACCCCAGTTTCTCCTCCCTTCTCTCCTCTAGTCCCCAATCTCCTTGCATCCCTTCTAACACTCTCATCTACTCCTTCTCCTCTCCATTCAGAGAGGGGCAGACCTCCCATGGGTGTCAACAAAGCATGACACACCAAGTTGAGGCAGGACCAAGCCACCCCCCCACTCCTGTGTACCAAGCCTGAGTGAGGCAGCCTAGCATGGGAAATAGATTCCCAAAAGATAGCTCAACTGCCAGGGACAAGTCCTGATCCCACTGCTAGGAGCTCCACAAACAGACCAAGCTACACAACTGTCACACACATGCAGAGGGCCTAGATGGGTCCCATGCTGGCTCCCTAACTGTCAGTTCAGAGTCCTTGAACACTCAGGACCTTAGGTCAACTGTCTCTGTGGGTTCCCCTGTCAGGACTGAGGAAAAAGTAAAAGGCAAAAGGCAAAAAAAAAAAAAAGGAAGAAATCAATATATCCCTTTTCTGTTCACCTTTAATAGAAAGTACAACTACTTTTTGGGTATAGAGCAGTGGTTCTCTACCTGTGCATCACACCCACCACAGGGTTTGTACATCAGATATTCTGCATATCAAATATTCACAATTCACAACAGTAGCAAAATTGCAGTTATGAAGTATCAATGATATAATTTTATGGTTGGGGGTCACC